GCGGTGGGGGGCCCGCGGGGTCCTCGGCGGGGCGGGGGATGAGGGGGGGCGGGGGCCCGGGCGCGGGGGCGGGGGGGGGGGGGGGCGGGGTCCCGGGCTGGTGGAGGGGCCCGCCCTTTGTCTTGGGTCAGCCTCGCCGCAGTGTCGGCGGGGCCTGCGGGATTGTCCTGGCTTAGTACTCGGCCCAGCCTCCCCGCCGTTCTCTCTGGAGGAGCTCGCCGTTTTCGGTTCCGAGCCTGGGAGTAGAGCTCCGAGGCTGCTGGAGCCCCACAGCGGGTCGGTAGCCGATGTCCAGGTCCGGGCCCCTTGAGAATTGGGGGGGGGCCACTGGTGTGGCACAGGGGGCCCCACTCCACTCGCCGCAGGCCCCAGTGGAGGCAGGAACGCACAGGGCCACGGGAGCTGCGGCTTCAAAGGAAGCCGATTCTGTTTCTGCGCTCAGCGGCCCTGGGGTGGGCTGTGCTGCCAGGGGCTGGGACCATGGTGATCAACAGACTGTTCTGGGGGCACTGACCAAGGAACAGAGCTTGAGAGGGAAGTGTATGACCTAGGGCCAAAGTCATGTGTCAGAAGGTTCCAGAAATGCAGTATTGCTGGAGGGTGGCCTCCTGTGGGGCCTGGAGGGGGCAGGGAGGTCCTCAGACTCAGCCTCTGGGCCTGGGGGAAAACCAGGGAAGCTGGGAGTGTCAGGGTTTGGCCTGTTTGAGAACTGTCCTGCCGGCTGCCCTGTGTGGAGTACCCATGTGATCAGCAGTAGAGCCTCGGGCAGGCCTGATGACCTCCGTCCCAGGGCTTTACCAGTGGGATTGCCTTGGGGCCAGTATTTTTCTCAACTCCTGTTAGCCCGGCCTTGGTTGAGTTCTGTTTAGCCCAGCAAAGCACCTTTCTTGCGTGACCCTACTGAACGTGTATTTCAGTGCATGACTGTTCTTCTCCTAATTTACTTCCAGTGTGTGTGTGTGTGACGTTTCCGAGGCAGCTGTCTGCACTGTGCAGGGAACAGTTTGGTCTAGATGGAGTTCCAAGCACAAGTGTGGAATGGGGACTTTTTACCATAATAGATGGATAATATGCCAAAATTCTGTCTCTCTCAGTGGCTAGCGGATGTGTGCATAATTGCAGCGGGCGTGTCAGGAGTGGGCCTGATTGTTTGACCACTCTGTTACTCATAGTGCCCTGGAGTTCGGAGAGGTACGCAGGGGCCTTCCTGCGGTGAGTGGGCTGTCCTTTGGTGACTTTAATTTGTTTCCTCATTGGGGAATTAGACCAGAGCTGTTGCTGTAGATTTCAGCTGAAAAGCAGCTGCTTTGGCTGCACGGCATTCCACTCACTGTAATTCAATGGGAAGCTGCCTGTCCTTTGCTTTGGCTCATAGTAATTACCTCTCTTCTGGTGGAATCAACCCAGTTCCTTGGTGGGTGGTAGTGGGCTCTTGTCTCTTTCCTCAGCAACACCTTCAAAGGGGAGGAATGATGTGCTGTGAGGGTGCTTAACCCCCAGGTATCCTGGGGGTCTGCGTTTGCCTTTCTTCGCAGGGGGGCACTGTGGGAGCAGTGAGGGCTCCCCATCCACAGAGTATGTGCTCAGTGTGGGATTTTTGCTGCTTGTCATACTGTAGGAATGTGACTACACTGTTGACGATGTTGGCCTTCCTTGCAAGGGTACTAGGGTTCTTCAGAGAAACAGAACCCGTAGGGTGTCTATAGCTGTGGAGAAAGAGACGTATTATGAAGGATTGGCTCACGTGATTGTGGAGGCTGGGAAGTCCCATGACCTGCGGTTTGCAGGTTGGAGTCCCAGGAAAGCTGCTGGAATTCAGTCCATGTTGGAAGCACCCGGGACCCAGTGTCTGAGGGTAGGAGAAAATAGGTGTCCCAGCTTCAGCAGAAAGAGTAAATTCCCCATTCCTCTGCCTTTTTTGTTCGCTGGTGCCCCTCTATGGATTGGGTGATGCCCTTGCATTGGTGAGGGCAGTATTCTTTATTCGGTCTACCAGTTTGAACGCCGATCCCCTGAAACACCCGGAAATATTTTACCGGCTACCTGCGCCGTCGCCCAGTCAGGTTGACACATAAGTTAACCGTCACAGCAATCCCAGGCCAACAGTTTCTGATGTCTTACTATCTGTTTGGTGGCGTGGAGACACGAGGGACCTAGGGCACACTGAAGATCTGTCGAGGGAGGCTCTGGGACTCACGGCGGCCTCCACAGGCCATGGAGTCCACCCTGTGTGTGGGGTAAGACTCCGTCCCAGAGTCTCATCTGTACATCGGTGGTGGGGGGGGATGACCCTGAGAACCAGCTGCCTGAAGGATGCAGAAGAGCTCTGTTGTGGCCTGTGCAGGTCCCACCCCGACTGCTCCCTACGAAGGGCACTGGATTTGGAGGGGGCTTGCTGGCCCTGTCCCGCCACCTCCTGCCATAAGAGCGTTACATCGTGTATACAGATGGTGCCTGTTACTCGTATACATAGACAGTTCCCGACTTACACGGGTTTGACATCAGATACTTTGACTTCGTGGTGGTGTGAAAGGGACATGCAGTCAGGGGAACCAGTGCTTGGAGTGTGGGGTGTGGGTCTCTGCCCAGGCTAGCGGTGTGCGGCCCTGTCCTGGGGCTGCGCAGGCCCACGGTCGCACAGCCGTTCCGCTGGTCACTTTGGGTACGGTATTCGGTCAGTTACAGGAGCTATTCAACACTCTCTTGTGAGACAGGCCGTGTGCGAGTGGTTCTGCCCAGCTGTCGGCCAACGCAAGTGTGCTCAGAACGTTTAAGATTGGCCAGGTGTACTAACTGGATTTTTGATAGGCTGTTTTCCACTTACAGTGGGTTTCTTCCTAAATCAAGGAAGAGCTGTACAACACTCATCGCTCTTTTGTTTCTACTGAGATAGGAAGATGAGCGGACTCTTTGTCTGATGCACTTTGCACCCTTGTTTGTCGCGTCAAGCTAGTGAAGTAGGTGCTCTTTCGCCAAGCAGAGTGGGCACGGTGTCCGGGAGGGGCCGGCGCCGCCCTCTGGCCTGTGGTGTGGCACATGCACAGTGAGTGTGTAGTGCTTACTCGTTCCTTTACTTTTCAAAACAGATCCCTTTACACGCGCTAGTGTCCTCTGTCCTGAGTGGGCGCCCCCGAATCTCGCGTACACAGTGTGACCAGGGGCCACGGGCTGGCATGTCCGAACACAAGGATGATCTTCTTTTGGTCTTTTCTTTTAATTTTCAAAGGGAACGATACGTCAGGTTTTCTAATCATTGGTAAATGGACTCTCAGAGATTTCCAGTCCTCGGACTTCCAGAGTCAGGATATGGGCACTTAGTGTTAGACTGGGCCAATACCAGGGCAGTTTTTATTTCTCTCTGGCGATCAGCGCGTGGTTTTCTGTGCCCTGGTCTTTGAAGCAGGAGGAAGGAGGTAATGTATGTTGGTCAGATGATAAGGTGTTTCTGGAGGGAGAGGATGGAGCGACCTTTCCCCAGTGCTGCCCCGTTTTCAGGAGTGCTGTCTAACCGAGGTTTCCGCCTGTGCTGACAGCTGCCGGGTCGCGGCGGCGGAGGGGGAAGGAGGGGGGCCGGTCTCCACGGACTCTTGCTCTCTAGTCCAGAGTCCCTGGGGTGGACGAGCTTGAATGGTATGTGTCTTGGAGCTTAGTTCACACGAGTCCAGCTATCAAAAAGACTTTAAAAAGGAAAAAAAAAAATCCCCATGAAAAGGTTCCTGTCTGCTCTCCTCCCTGTGGCCACTCAGTTAAGATTGATGAGAAGTACGTCTTTTCTTGTAGAATTTTTCAAGAAGGACTTGAGAGTGGGTGTGTCAGCAACTGTCCAGATTTTCAGTGGCTCCCTGCCTACCTCTTTGTTTAGAAAAATGTCAAAGCTGCAAAAAGTGGAAGGAATAAATAGCACAGTGACCTTGCAGATGCCTCTCTGTTCTCCAGCACTTCCTGTTTGCTTTGCCCCTCCCTCCCCATGTCTGCTTGTCACTGTTTTAACCAAACCGTCTGAGAGCTGGTTGTCTGTGGCCCTGCGCCCCAAAATGCCTCAGGGTAGGCCTCCCGAGGATGAGGGCCTTCTACACAGTGGAGCTGTACCGAGCGAAGTCTGGACGGTTAGCATGGGTGCGCTCCTCGAACACCGCGGTGTAGCGTAGGCTGTCTGTACTCTCTTCACCAGTCACCCCAGTAACGTCCAGCTCCATTCGTCTGGAACACCTCCTCCCTGCGCTGTCAGGAAACGAGTTTGTAGAAGGCCCTTCGGTTGGTCTTGCCTGGTGTCGTCTAACTTGGATTCCGGTGCCTTTGGACAGGAGCCAACCACACGTGGCTGCGTCCTCCCCCTGCTCCCCCGGGGCACCTGCCGGCATGTTGTCCCATTGTCCTGTCCTTATGGTGATACTTTGATCACTTCTTCCTAAGTGATTAAACTGGGGGGGGGGGGAGCTTTGAGACCACAGGTGTCCTGTCACCTCACAGACGGGCACAGTGGTCTCAGCGACCAGATTTACCAAGGTGAGTGCAGAATGGCGGGTCTTCACCCATTGCTCCTCCTTGGCTGCTTGACCTTCCCTCTGTTCCATGTCCAGGTGAAGTCCTGGACCATTCAAGAGGCTAGAGTCCATTACTGTCAGTCACTTTGATTTGTCATTGTCCCCATTTCGCAAGGAGGACCCCACCCCCTTCACGTGGGCATCTGGTCCTTTTGTCATTTACCCCTAAGTTGGTACCACTCTGACGCAGTCGTCTGCTCGAGGCCCGTCTTGTCCTGTCTCTGTCCCAGTGCCGGGATCAGCTGTTTCTCCCAGGAGTCCTGGCTCCGTTTGCTAGGGGAACAGTGTCTAGAAACTAAGGTCCCTGTGCGGCCCAGTGCTGTCCTCCGGGCCCCTCAGTGGACAGAGTGGGACGGAGCCCCTCTTTGGGCACAGCTGGCCCCGCCGCCAGGCGCCTGTGCCCGGTTGCTGTCGTCAGCCACCGCGACCCTGCGGCGCTTGCAGAAATCGAGGTGCTTCCCGGCTTGTCCGTTTTCCTTCCCTTCGCGGAGCTAAGTCGGGTGCGTTGTGAGAGCAGTGCTTGGCCGGGGCGCTGGGAGGGCCGCTGTCCAGCGGTGGCTGCTGCGGGGCAACATGTGCTGACCGGGCTGTCGCTGGGTTGGAAATAAAGCGGGGCTGTACTCGGCGGAATGGAGGAGCGTCAGACCCACCGGCACCCCGGCCACTTCACGGCGCCAGGCCCCTCTGGGCACGCCCACCCCTCGGGATTTTCCCCACTCACGTTCTGCTGGGTCTCCTCCGTCCGCGGGGCGCCCCGTACCCTCCGCTTAAACTTTGTGAGGCCCTCACTGCGCATGTCACGAACTAGAGGTAAACGTGTGTCTTCCTTTCTCTTTCAAGATGAATTTTATGTCCAATGAGATGCAGGGTCTCCAGTGTGCCATGGGGTGAGTGAGACCTGTGTCACCCTGGCCCCTGTCAAGCTGCTGGAACATGCCCATCTCTCCCGAAGGTTCAGGCCACCACTGCCCCTTTGCCAGTGTAGAGGAGTCGATCCAGAGCTGTGCGTCCAGGGGATCCAGCAGGATGGTCTTCGTGTCAGGTTTCCATGAGCCCCCATAATGTTTCTAAGACTCGTCCGTGTCTTCTGCACACGGTGCACTTCCTCTCGTGGCTAAATACTGTTCTGTTGTTGTACGACCGCACCGGTTAGCCCATCCTTCTGTGCTTGGGCATCTGGGCTGTTTGAAGCTTTTTGCTGTTATCATAAAGGTGCTCGGGTGGTCAGTTGGTTAAGCATCTGCCTGTGGCTCAGCTCCTGATCCCAGGGCTCCGTGCTCCACGGGGAGCCTGCTTCTCCCTCCCCCTCTACTCCCCCTACGTCTGCTCACTCGAGCTCTCTCTCTGAAATAAATCTTTCAAAAAAAAAATGTTGCCATGAACATTTCTGTACAAGTCTTCCTGGGGGCTTCTGTTCTGATTTTCTTGAGTGAAATACTAGAGTAGGGTTGCTGAGTCCCAGGGGAGGCGTAGGTGGAGCCCTTTTGCACTCCCGTCCACACTGTGTGAGACTTCCCGATTGCTCTCTGTCTGCGCCAACACCTAGTGTTGCCAGTCTTTTTAACGTTAGTCATTCTGGTGGATGTGAAGTGGTATCTGGCTGTGACTTTAAGTTGCAATTCCTGGTGACTAATGAGGTTGCCCACACAGCTCTTTTCCAAAGTATGTGTGTGTGTTTTGAGTCATGGGGTGTGGTAAATCGCAGCCTGACAGGGGATGCGCGTGTTTTATTCATACCCTAGTTCTTTACTTCTGATTAGCTTGAGCTCCAGAGCTGTTAGCTGTGTGGGGTTTGACGCCTTGGTGGGTGAGGAGTGGCCAGAGCTGCGGGGTGCCCTGCAGGATTGGCATCTGCTGATTCCGGGGGGGCTTCTCCCGCAGGGCTGGGGGGGACTGGCAGGGCCAGTGCCTGGCTTTTGTCTCGTGGGCCTGGCATTGCTGTGGCCTTTGGTTCCAAAGAGAGTGTGTGCTGAGGAGCCAGGGGGCCTGGGCTGGCTAGGGTCTGTGGGACGCGTCTGGGCTCATACCCTCTTCCCTGGAGGCACTGCCTTTGTGTGCCGAGACCTGTTTCCTGCATGACCCCTTGCAGATACAGGAGCCTTGGTGCTGTGTCTGCCTCCTCCCCGGGGCCCAGTGGGTGCTCCCTGAAAGCTGGCTGCTGGGAGAGGATGTGCGGCTCTGGGGTTGGGAGTGGAGCCTGTCCCCCTTCCCCCCAGCCCTCCTAAGTGCATGTGGGCCTTGCCTGACTCTCTGATGTGTGTTCGTCCCCACAGCTTGCTCTCAGAACACTAACAGAACCTGTGAGGAGTGCCTGAAAAATGTCTCCGTAAGTAGCACGGCCACCTCCTCGGCCCCGGGGGCTCTCATGTGCGTGACGGTGACCTATTGCTGCCACCTGAAGTGCTCCCCACAAAAGAGAACCATCCTCCTAGCGAGCTCCCGTGGCTTTCAGTAACACGGTTATGACATGGTTGTAAACATGGGAAACTAGCATTCTGTGAAAATGGAGGATTTACCAAAAGCCATTCACCGGGACCAGGCCGCTGACGTGGAGGGTGTTCTCCGACGGCCAGAACAAAGAGGGTTGAGCGCTGTTCGCTGGGTGTGCTGTGAGCATGGTAAATGCGCCGTGTAGCTCTGGGAGAGCCCAGGCTTCTTCCTCACATTCGTAATGGACTTGCACCCTGGCCTGGGACACAAATACCTGATTTCCTGTCCTTTTGAAGAACTCAGAGAAGGCTCTGTAGGACGGTTACCTTCAGGATTCAAAGTACCAAGTGCAAAACCCCGACCTGAGGACCCATGAGGGCTACCCGAGCACACGTCTGGGCCACCCACGTGCGCCTGGTGCCAGGAGCGATCGAGTGGCCGGCGGGGTGTGGTGCCGTCTCTGTACCTGCCTCGCCCCTGATGTTCTTAGGGACTCGGACGGGAGTGTCTGTGAGGCGCCCTCCAGCCCTGAGGTTCTGGGCCGGTGCCTTTGAGCCTTAATGCATTTTTTTTTTTTTTAAGAATTTATTTATTCACTTGAGAGAGACAGAGAGAGGGTGAGTAGGGGAGGGGCAGAGGGAGAGGGAGAAGCAGGCTCCCCGCTGAGCAGGGACCACAACACGGGGCTCGATCCCAGGACCCTGAGATCATGTCCTGAGCCGAAGGCAGACGCTTCACAGACCTAGGCGCCCCCGGATGCACTATCTTTAAGACAGCCAGGCACCCCATGCAGTTGGAGAGGTCACAGTGTTTTCCAAGGTCACTTAAGTCCACTGACAAGGACTTAACTGAGCTCCTCCTGTGGGCCCGCTGGGTCCTGCCTGCCCTCCTGCAGATGAACTGAGATAGGTACTCCTGCTGAGTGTGTTGGGTGCTACTGATGGGAAGGTGATGGGGAGGCGGGGCGATGGGGAGTGGGTTGCTCAGGGGAGGCCATGTGGGGGAGGGGAGGGCACACATGCTTGGGGAAGAATGTTCTGGGCAGAAGGAGTGGCTGTGCAAAGATTCTGGGCAGGGAGCCACCTGGCAGCTTTCAGGACGTGCACAGAGGCCTAGAGGCCGGGCGGGGTGCCTGGTGGGAGAGGGTTTGAGTAACCTCAACCCTGGTGGGCCGGATGGGGTGGAGCTGATGGGGTGGGGTGGGGGCTGAGGCCTTCCAGTCTGTCACCTGAGGGCGAGCAGGAGGTGTGGTGGGGCTCCAATCCCAGACAGTCTGATTCTTGGGTGTGTATGTTGCATTTCTGACGTTTGTCGAACATTCGTCCTTTTCAGTGTCTTTGGTGCCACACCAACAAGGCGTGCTTGGACTACCCGGTGAGCAGGATCCTGCCGCCCAGTTCCCTCTGTAAGCTGAGCTCTGCACGCTGGGGCGTTTGCTGGGGTGAGTCTTCGTTTTCATAGAGTTCTCGCAAAGTCTGTATTTTGGAAAGTCTGGTTGTGCTCAGTGAACGTAAGCTGCCAGAACGCGTGCTCTCTGCAAGAAGTCAGGAAGCCAGTGAGAGAGTGTGCTTTCTGGGAGGGCTGCTGGCGGTCCCCGGGGTCTGGAGGCCCAGCTGTAGGGCCCTCAGCCTCGGCTCTGCACTGGGTCCCTCTGCATCCCGAGATGGCGGAGGGCAGAGGGTGTGTTTGGGGACTGTTTCAGCACACGGTGTCTCGGCTGCATCTGTGTGCTGGGAGTCCTGCTCAGCATGGTCAGGCCCTTCTTTCCTGACTTGTCCCTTTCTGTCTGGAGATGGTGGGTTTTCCAGGCGCTCTCTCTGTGGGTCTGTTAACCCTCGTGAGACCCCAGAGAGACCAGTCCTGGACCAGGGAGCCCGGGGCATTCTGAGCCTGAGTTGTTAAGGTGTTCTTAAGATGAGGCATGACTTCTAATGAAGTGCACATGCTGTTTCCCTGTCCCCGTAGACTCTAGTGTCTAACAGACACACACGTGTACATACACCTACACCCGTTCAGGGAGCGGAGTGAGGTTTTGACACACGTAGACAGGTAACCTCCGCTCAGCACTCGCAGCCTGACCGTGTCAGGACCCCGCGTCAGCCCCTGGGCTGACTTTCCATCAGCACAGGTGAGTGCTGCCTACACTGCCCTTCCCGTAAAGGAAATCACGTGTGTGTGTCCGACTTTCCGTGCAGTCGTGTGTCTGAGACTCCAGTGTCCCGGCCCATCTGTCCGGCGGCTGCTCAGTGCCCTGCAGGCGTCCATGCGGACGCCCCAGTGCTGCCATAAACGTGCTCGTGGGGCCGGCTGCCCACACTCACTTCCAATGGGCGTGTACTAAGGAGCACGATCACGGGGTCGCCGCGCATAGTAGGTCCGCAGACGTTTTCCCAGAGTGGCTGTGCCACTTTACGCTCCTCCAGGTGGTGCGGGCCTTCCCGTTGTCCCACGTCCCTGCCAACACTTGGGGTAATCAGTCATCTTCATTTTAGTCCATCCGGTGGGTGTGAAGGGGTATTTCGTTGTAGTTTTAATTTGCGTTTCTCTGATGACTAATGATGTTGAGCACCTTTCAAGTGGGGTCACTTTTGATAATTCTCCTGTGCAATGAAGTTCCTGCTTTGGGGCCGTGGGGCTGGCTGAGCGCCTGGCATGGGACAGATGAGATCCACAGTGTGGGGGACGGGGGGCAGGGAACAAGCCAGGGACTGTGGGAGGTAGGCTCTGCACTCAGGACAGGTGGCCTGCTTCCTAAGAGAAGGTGCACATGGTGTCATTCATGCCGGGGCTGCATGGAACTGAAGCCTGCCACCTGGGACTCAGGGATCGGTGGGGATGCTCCAGGTCCCCATGGCACTAAGGAGGGTTGGGAAGGCGCACTGGGCTGAGGGTGTATTGGCCTTCTCTGTGGGAACAGAATGGGCAGGGGGCTTGTGCTCGTGCCGTCTGGGGAGCCCGGGAGGGCCCCCAGCCCCCCTCGATGTCAGGGCAGCACGTAACTGTAATTCCAGACCTCACGCCATGGGTGCTCTCTGTTCTGACAAAGAACTTTAGAATCATCTTATCCAGCTCTGGGCAAAATTGTTTTGGGGTTTTAACTGTAATTACATGTTCGCTTGGAGAAACATGAAGTCTTTAGGATGTTACCCCTTTGGCAGAAGTAGGTGTCCCTGCTGCACTCAGGTCACCCTCACGGCCTCAGGCTCCATAGCTTTTACGTGGAGGGCTCATGGGAATGAGGGCCTGCAGTGTTTTTCCCCGTTGTGATCGGGATTTCTGTTTTTTGGTTTTTTTTTTTTAAGATTTTATTTGTTTGACACAGACACACACAGAGAGAGGGTGAGAGCGAGCACAAGCAGGGGGAGTGGCAGAGGGAGAGGGAGCCCGATGCGGGACTCGATCCCAGGACCCCGGGATCATGACCTGAGCCGAAGGCAGACGCTCAACCAGCGGAGCCACCCGGGTGCCCCATGGGATTTCTGTATTTTATAACTGGTTTTAGCTGCTAGTCAGAAAAGCTGTTTTGGGGGGGGGGAGGCAGACATTTCTAAGCCAGGTGTCTTGCTGATCTGATTGGTTTTTAAAGTGGATTGTTTGCAAGTGCTATCGTCAAAACCCACTGTTGTGACCTTCCGCTTGTGAAGGTCTTTTCTGATACTGTTGCGGTCATGACTGCTTGGTGTGCCGGCTCTTCCAGAACAGGTGGCAGGAGTTGAAACCACGTGAGTGTAGCTCGGAAGGTGTGTCATCAGATGTGACCCTGATTCTGATCGTCAGCGTAGGTGCACAAACTGGAGGCCAGCCTGTGGGGCTCGCGGCCAATCTGTGTGGAGTGCCCGGCTCTCGGCGGCGGCCTCCCTGTGCCCACCGCCGTCCTGGGCAGAGCTCGCTCTCGAAACTGCCTCGGTGGCCATCTGAACGGGGCGAGTGGACACGTTTGCAAGAGCACTATCAGAGCTCTTTGATTGGCTTTGGTTCTAATTAAATAGAAAACTATTGGTGGGTTTGGCTTTATAAATCCTTCGGAAAAGTCAGAAAGAATTGTAAAGCTTGTTTTAACTACTTGTCTCAGGAGTTGGGTCTTGACGGGAAATCATAAAATCATTGGCAGCTGATGAGGCAGCCGTCTTCAGGCCCCGTGGGTGGTGCCAGGGCTCCACGGTCCCTTATCTGCCTGCTGGGGTCAGAAGTTGTCCTGGGGAAGTAAATGCAGGTGACCTTGAACAGCGTAGGGGTTAGGTGTGCTGGTGCCCCGGGCACTTGAAAATCTGCATGTGACTTCTTTTTTTTTAAATTTTATTTTATTATGTTAGTCACCATACAATACATCATTAGTTTTTGATGTAGTGATCCACGGTCCATTGTTTTCGTATAACGCCCAGTGCTCCATGCAGTACGTGCCCTCCTTCATACCCATCACCGGGCCAACCCATCCCCCCACCCCCTCCCCTCTAGAACCCTGTTTGCTTCTCAGAGTCCATAGTCTCTCATGGTTCATCTCTCCCTCCGATTCCCCCCCTCATTTTTCCCTTCCTTCTCCTAATGTCCTCCATTCTATTCCTTATGTTCCACAAATAAGTGAAACCATATGATAACTGTCTTTCTCTGCTTGACTTAGTTCACTTAGCATCATCTCCTCCAGTCCCATCCGTGTGGGTGTAAAGTTGGGTGTTCATCCTTTCTGATGGCTGAGTAATCTTCCATTGTATATATGGACCACATCTTCTTTATCCGTTCATCTGTTGAGGGGCATCTCGGCTCCTTCCACAGTTTGGCTATTTTTTAGCGGACGTTGCTGCTGTGAACATTGGGGTGCATCTGCATGTAACTTCCGATTTCCTGGAAACTGAACAGCCGCCAGCCTGCCGTGGACGGAAGGCTTGCTAGTAACAGAGGATTCGAGGTGTGCGCACGCGTGTGTGCGTGTGTTATGTGCACCGTGTGCTGTGTTTTCACAGGGAAGTAGGCTAGAGAGAGGGAAACGTTAGTGAGAACGTCATCAGGAAGAGAAAGTGCACGTACGGTATCGTCCTGGATTTGGGGAAACCACGCCCACAGATTCGTGGACCTGGACGGTTCAGACTGTGTTCGAGGGCCCACGGTGTCGTGCTGTGGACTTGGGTTTAAGGATTGGATAAGCTGCCCCAGGCTTCAGTTCCATTTCTAGAGTTCCACAGAGTCTAAACGTGTGTCAGGACAGTCTGCGCGCCCAGCGGGCACTCTCCTTCCTGTGTCTGCTCGGTCCACGTGCCCCAGGCTTGCCGTGGGGAGGAACGCCGCCCCGTGTGTGGCCTGGGCCGTGGCGGTTGATTGAGAAATTGCTCACAAGTCACACACCCGCACTGAGAGGACACCTGGGGGCAGGCAGCTCTAGAACTGGGGGGCGCTGCTTTGGGCTCCCCGCGCCCCGTCCTGACTCCCTGACTCCCGACGGACCTTGCAGTGAACTTCGAGGCGCTGATCATCACGCTGTCGGTGGTGGGGGGGGCCGTCCTCCTGGCCGTGGCCGTGTGCTGCACCTGCTGCTGCTGCCGGAAGAACAGGAGCCGGAAGCCCGATAAGAGCGAGGAGAAGGCGGCGCGGGAGCGCGAGGAGCGCAGGATCCGGCAGGAGGAGAGGTGAGGCCCCGGGTCACTGGGGCGTCCCTGGGGCACGGGGCCCTGGTGGGCCGTGGGGAAGTGCCGCCCGCGGCCCCGAGTTCTCTCCGGCTTTGGACGGACCGTGGGTCGCGAGCCGGGGTTGTGGGACAGGGTGTGGGCGTGGCGCAGGTCCTTGTCCTCCTGGGCTGCCACGGGCAGGACAGAGGCCCAGCTGGGGCGAGCTGGGCATTGGGGGCGCCTGCCTACCTGCGCCTGGGGCGGGCCTGCTGCGGCTAGCGCGTGGAGACGCTGTCCTCCCCTGCTCACGGAGCACTTTGGGGAGCTCGGGCCCGGCCTGGGTGGCAGGTGCGGCGGGTCACCAGGCCCTGCGTGATGGGACTGGGATCGTGGCTCGGAGACGTGCTGCCGCGTCAGGCCAGCCGCTGTTGGGTGGGCGTTGTCCCTGCAGAGTCATCGCTCCTAAGTAGCAACTAACACGTGTACATTCCCAATTTTCTGCAGAACCTAGCGTCAGATTTTCACTCCTCAGTGTGTTTTCTTTACATGAAAAATAGTTTAAGAAATCATAGTATTTGAATTGCCTTTACTGAAACAAAGAACCGAATGACAGGACACTGGAGCGGCCTCAGAAGATGGTGCTGGTCGTCACCCTGCTTGGCCCGGTGGCCACCGGCGCTTGTCCTCAGCCTCTCTGCCAAAGGAAGCGAAGGGTACATCTTTTAGTGTTATGTAATACTTTGATGCTAAATGAGATTTTTTTCTTTTTTAGGAGAGCAGAGATGAAATCAAGACATGATGAAATCAGAAAAAAATACGGTAAGTGTTGATGCGATGTCCGTGTCCGTTCCGTTTGATTGGGAGTTGATGCCACGCTGTGAGATGTGACTGCTTCCCTCGTCCACCTGTCTGGATTGAGCAGCCGGGTTTACTCTGTGCGGACTGGAATGAACTAACCCACGAATGTCTTGAAAAGGTGAAGCCTTGGCATATTTTTCTCTCGCCAAACTTCCTAGGACTGCTCACTCCCGAGGGGGTGGAACTTGGCCGGGCTCCGTGTGGCTCCTAGCCTGTCACCCTGTTTGTGTGACGCGGGGTGTGTGTGGTGACTGCGGGCCTCCCCTGCCTCGCCACCCTCATGTTCACGTCGCTCTCGCACCTGACTTCTGCGGGCTCAGCTCTCCATGCTGCCCAGGCGTTTTGTCTGCTTTGTTTTGGTTTTTGTTTGGAGAGACTGGGGGTGGGGTGGGGGTGACTCATTTTACTGTGTGAGAGCATTAACTCTGCTCCCCTGTTGAGTTGGCTGTTGGGATTGGGAGTCATGGACTCACTGGGCCTCCGCAGTGACCACCATGGGGCCTCCAGCCCTGGGCCACAGTGCTTCCTTTGACCTCGTGACCCGAGGATCACATGCTCTGTGTCAGGTGGACCAGGCAGCTGGGCTGAAGGCAAACTGATCAAATTCCAAAATCTTTACCAACTAATGTATGCATTTTGGAGTTCTCTTTATAGAGGATACTGTTTTCCTGGTATTTTAAGATCCCAAGCACTAAAACAGAGAGTCCCCAAGGCTCAGTTCCCTCTGGCGGGGGCCGCTGGCTGCATGCCCGCACCCCCATCCATACATGCCTCCTCTCACTGTCACGCCCTTGTGCTGGGTCACCTCAGGCTGGGGGTGACCCTGCCAGCCTCCAGGTGTTGATTCCAAGGCACGAGGCTGCCCCAACTGCCCCTCCTCCTGCTGCTGGGTCACCTCCGTTTAAGGCGAGATGTCCGGCCACCGAGAGAGCCTTCTCTGGTTGGCTCCCGCCCCTCAGCCTCCCCTTGGTGCTGCTCCTCTCCTGGCCAGCCTGGCTGTCCCCCTTGCTGCCTGTGGCACTCGCCCCGGGGTGCGGTGCTCTTTCCCCGCGTAGGTGGTGATAGACTCCGTGTGGGTGACATCCCCTGCCCAGCAGTCTTGGCGTGGTGCCCTCTCTCCCCAGTGCTCACCGAGCATCTGCTGCCCGCAGCTGGGTCCCCTGGTTTTCCACGACATTGAAAAGTGCGGAAAGGAGCTTGTTGGCATCTGATTAACAATATAAATACAAGGCAAGAGACGTGTCACACAGACTCACACTGAAGTGCCTTTACTGCCAAGCACAAGTAGCTTTCAGGTCTTCCCCTTTGTCCAGTTGTGTGCAGGGCCCTGGCCCAGGGGCCGTCTCCGTAACAGTGCCCTGGGGCACTTCCTTCCTATCATTTTGATGGTTCCTGTGGCCCTTAATTGCGCTGATAAAGCCCACTCATGCCTGTTTATACAAAGCCCATAGAGTGGACTGCACTTTGGAAAGACTCAGCTGGTAGAAGAATCCCCAGGGGTCCCCAAGGGGACTGGGGACAGGCACACGCTGCAGTTAACACACAATGCACGCGTAGACGAAACCCTTCTTGTGGTTTTAGAAGGTGTTTGATTTCCTGATCACAAAACAGTTTCTCCCCCTCTAAACTAGAAATAGAGCTAGGAGCTGTTTTGCTTTGTCTTTTCCCAACGCAACTGGGTGTGTTTGGCATTTGGCATCTGAACGCCCTTTACCAAAACCACCGTGGGCTTCCTCCTGTGGCTCGAGGCATGCCGTCCTCCTCAGGACCAGCAGCCCCGCACCCCCAAAATCTCCTGCAGCAAGTAGCTGTTGTTGCAGTGGCTCTGGGGGGAGGTGTTGGTTTGTGGTACAGGTTTCTGGAGAGAGGCAGAGGTGGTGTGGGTTTCTGCACTGCGAAGAGAGCTCCTCGTCTTCGGGTGTTTAGCACCAAAGATCTATGACCAAGTACATCGTACATCAGGATGTACATGTACATGTACATCAGGATGCTCGACGGTGAGATTGAAGGTCACCTCGTTCTAAGTCCGTCAACATGATAAGGACATGTAAAGTAGAGTGGTTTTGTAAGTCACCTGTGGTTTGACACGCAAAACGATGAAGTGTGCTCGAACCTGCTCAGACACCCGTTTCTCTTAAGGCCTCAGTAGGTCTTCGCGGAGAGCTCAGTTGTCCTGCTGTCTTGCATCTCGTTTGCCGTCCTGTGAGTGCATTTATAACCGGGATTGTTTTGTTCCAGGTTTGTTTAAAGAAGAAAACCCATATGCCAGGTTTGAGAACAACTGAGAGCACACCCCACCCCGGGACGCGGTGCCGGTCAGCGGAGCCCCTGCCCCGCCGAGAGCACAAGTGCGTGGCCGCCTGCACCTGCGAGCTTCTGTCCCCTTCTCTGTATCTCTACTCAGTCACTCAAGACACTAAGCCCTTCGGGGGGTGGGGGTTGGTTTTGGTTTGGTTGCTACTTTGAGGAGGAAAGACAAACAGTGCACCACTCGATCAGTCGGTAAGCCACCTGCAGGCGGAGCCGCCCACCTCTCCTTCCGTGCCGGCGGGGCAGGAAGGGCGTCTGTCACCCGGCCATTGCCCCGTGAGCCCAGCGGCGTCTGGGTGCTGCGCGCTGACTCAGGACGCGCTCTCACCCCAGCTGCGCGGAACAGCACCGAGGGCGGGGGGTCCTGCTCACCTTGGGTCTGTGTTGCGTTTCATTTCATTTTAGATAATTCTTGGATTTCCTTCCTCCACCTGAAACATTTCACCAAAAAACTTGACTGTCAAAGTTCAGAGCACTTATTGGACAGTTTTTAAATTTTCATTTGTATCTTTACCAGAACATCACGGTTTTTTCCCAGTGAAAACTTGAGTAACAAATGAAGCTTGAAAGCCGCCTCTCCGGGGCGCCACAGCACTGACGCGGAGCCGCAGGGCCCGGGGAGGCCGCCGCCGCCCCGCTCTCGCCTTCCCTCCTGTTGGCAGCAGCCGTTGGGCCCTGTGTGGGGAGGCGCCCGTCTCGTGCCCGTCAGGCTGGCTGCACCGCGGTCACTGAGGGGCCTGGGTTGTCCCCAAAGAGGGAGGGACCGAGCACCAGTGGCGCGCCCCCCCCCCCCCCGCGGGGCTCTCTGCCCACCGGGGAGGCGGGTGTCCAGGTCGGCGGGAGGGATTTCCACGTGCTTGTCCAACGAGCCCCGTCCTGGAACCGCGCTCCTTGGGGCGTGTGGTGCAAGCTCCTGCAGAGGCAGCTTCTCGGGAGGCTGCCCGTGGCCTCCAGGCGCACCCTGCCGTGCCTTCTGCGGCCGTTCCGCCCCTTTCAGATCCAGATCCAGGACCGCGGTGAATGGACCGAGCGCTTCGTGTCAGGGGCGGCCGCAGTGACGTAACTGTGCGAACAGCCTTCCTTCAGTGTGAAAATAGGCCCAGGTGCCACACTGCTTCGGATTAGGAAGACGTTTAGCTTGGGGAAAGTGGGTCGACAGGCACCTACGAAAATGACATGTTTGGCTTTTGCCCTTGTGACCGCACAGAGCCCGCTCTCTCGGGCGACCGGTGCAGTGCCCGCCGCGGCGGCCAGTGCTGTCCTGGAATTTCCACCAGCTGGGAAACCAACCTCGCCGGACTCCGTTACTGTCTTTCTGACTTCTTGGGCGTTTGATAGCAGTTTAAAGTACTATGAAACATTCCTAAGTATTTTATAGCAGCCTGCACCTTTTGTCTTACTGTTTATTCAGCAGAGAAACTTTGTAACAGACTTCAGCAACCCTTGTGTTGGCGCAGTAGTACTCTGTAAGCTCGCTCGCGCCGTGTCTTGGTTCTGGGTTGCTGAGCTCCCTGTTCTTCCATACCTGAGCTCCCTCTTCTTCCATACTGTGTATGTAATCCCATCATGGGGTCCTCAGCCCACACCAGGCCGTCTGGAGGGCTGTCTTAGGCCCTACGCTTTTTTCTGAAATAGTCCTAAGAGCAGCCATATATACGTAACCTCAAGGAAACCAGGAAGCTTGGAGTGCCTTAATTTTAACCAGTTTCCGAAAAATGGTTTAATACATACTTCGTTGAATACACTTTGTGTCCTTGTGTCTCATTTCTCTGTGGTGTTAGCATGATTACTTGGAGAGCGGTGGGTAGACTTTCTACGTAGAGACTTTTTAAGATTTTATTTATTCTAGAGAGAGCGAGCGAGAGTGTGGGTGGGCAGGGTGGGCGCCGAGGGAGAGAGTTCCAACCAGACACCACACCTCGTGTGGAGCCCTTCACGGAGCCTGACGCGGGGCTCGGTCCCATGCCCCTGAGATCATGACCTGAGCTGAAACCAAGAGTCAGACGCTGAACCGACTGCGCCGCCCAGGGGCCCTTCTGCATGGAGACTTTCAACCCGTCCCAGATGTGTGAGCGATCCCAGCTTCAGTACCATGGCCAAGGGGGAGACTGCCGCGTCCTCCAGTTGCCTGTTACCTACCCCCAACTGCTGTTCGCTGTCCAGCCAGAGACTCGGGCTGGTTTTCTGCCCCCCCCCCCCCCCCACCCCCAAGTGCTGCTCTCCTTCTGCTTAGCTGGAGTCGTACAGAATGGGGAGAAAGCAGTTCTGCCTTGAGCCTTGTGTCCGTGGCTGTAACTGCCGGCCGACTGCCCCCTCCCCAGGGTGGGGGGTCTTCAGTGCCTGGCCGCTGGGGGGCGCCCGTACCTCTTCTGAGCGGCTGCTGAGCCCATGTGACCATCGCTGCCGTCGTGGGATCTCTGGGACGTCCTCTGTGTGGCGCTGTCTGAAGTCCGACGTCCGCGTGGGGCAGGCGATCGGCCCGTGGGTGCCGTGGTCTCTGTGGGAAGTGTGTGAGCCTGCCCAGCGGAACCCAGGGCCGTGCAGGAGCCTCAAGCACTTGCAGGTTCCAGGGTGGGAACGCGGCAGTGCGGGCTCTTCCTTTTGGACGTCGAGGTCCAGATGCAGTCGTGGGGTACCCTTGTGACCAGCGTGTCCTTAGGGCATCCAGGCCCATGGGAAACACTCGCCTCGGATTCGTTGAAAAAGTTCCAAGTCCGATTATGGCAAGACCAGGGCCTTGAAAGGACGGGGTTGGTGAATGAAGTCCTTCCATTAGGATGTCTGCTCCTGAGGAAAGTTCCCCTTGTTGGGCTGTAAAAAGCACGCGGTCAGATGGGTAATCAGTGGCTGCGTCCCGCCAACTCGTTCTCGGTGTCCTTCCAGAGCCAGTCTGCGTCTCGTGCGGCTCTGGGTCTGCTCCATCCGCACACAGATCCGAGCACGTGGCCGCCGCCTCCCCGGGGGCCTTGGCGTGCTTCATCCCACCGTCCTGTTGGGAGGCTGGCTCTCTCCACTCCTGTCTGTCCGTGCTGCTTTGTGTGACCTGTGAGTCCATTTCCAGAAGTAGAATTCTGGATCAAAGTGCCCGTGATGCCGAATTACCCTCCAGACAGAGGACACCTTGTTTGAAGCGATCTGTGACGCTTCGTCAGTGGGTGGAGGTAAGCGGCCCATGGGGTTCCGCCAAGGCCTCATCTGGAAGTCAGGAACTGAGTGGATGGTTCCTGGGCCCCCTGAGCCGGGGCAGCAGGCCTGCGTGCTGGCTCGAGGCGGTCTGGGGATGGGCAGGGCCTGGCAGGGCTGGTGTGCGGTGGGCACAGGCATGCTGCTGGGTAAGGCCGCCTGGGGCTGCGGCAGAGGCAGGAAGAGCAGCTGCGAGGCAGGCGAAGCCAGGGTGCAAGGTGCTGGCCGTCGGGATTCCAGAGGCGGGCCAAGTCCCCGTCCTGCTGCTGCAGGTGGTCTGAGGCTCCCTGGCCCCTCCTCCCACCCACCTGCCCCCCTCAGACAGGCTTGCTGCTCCAGCTGCTGTCTGCAGGGCTGTGTGGGGCGGGTCACAGGCCCTGGCTGCTTCCGTAGTGGTTCCGGGGGCCAGCTCCGCCAGAAGAACCGGCAGGTGCCCCGTGAGGCCCCGGAGTTACAGACCCATGGGCCCAGTACTTGGCAGACACCCGCCGTCTCATGGTCATCACTGCCGCTGGAGAGCTGTCTCTGGCCCCGCGTCCGTGGGGAGGAGCCAGCGGGTCTGGCAGCAGCCACGTCTTCGCGGGGTGCCCTGGTACAAAGGTGCCTGGCCAAGCCTGACGCGGGGTGGGAGGCACAGACTACCCCCCGTGGGATGCTGGGAGGGGGTGAGGGCACAGCGTTGCTGCTGTCCCCCATCCCCAGTCCCATGCATTCTGCTGGGGGCACAGTCCCCCAGTGGCCTGTAGCCCAAAGGGTCTGCCCGAGGATAGACGTGGCTTGAGCTGCGTGGACGTCTGTTGCCCCAGCTCCTGCTTTGGGTAGATGGCCGCGTGTCTGGAGGCTCAAAGCCCGGGGACGTTTCTCAGCCGGCAGGGCCTTCCTCCCCAGGGTCTTGTGGCTGTGGGTCCCCAGGCTCTCAGAGTCCTGCGCCCCCTGCCAGCAGGCAGCCCGGCCTCTATGCAACGCCACTGGCAGGAGCTGACTGCCGGGCCTGGGAGTGCACCCCGCCCTCACTAGGGGCCCCCTCTGCGCGGCCAGGGCCAGCAGCGGAGTCCATCCCAACAGCTCCAGAAAGCTGCTAGGGGCGCTCTGATGGGGGTCCCGCCCCGCACACAGAGTGGACGCCGACCCCATGGAGCTGACTTACGTGATGTGGTGGGTTTTCTGCTCCCCAGACCTGAAGAATGATGTTTAATTCGATCTTGGAGCAGTTGTCTCCTTGTTTGAACCCTGAATACGAAGAACAAGTCCTCACTCTACAGATAAATCCCCTCTCTCTCTCTCTCTCTCTCTCTTTTTTTAAGACTTTATTTATTTAATTGAGAGAGAGAGTGAGCACAAGTAGGGGGAGCTGCAGAGGGAGAATCAGCTCCCCGCTGAGCAGGGAGCCCGATGCGGGGCTTGATCGCAGGATCCTGGGATCATGATCTGAGCTGAAGGCAGATGCCTCACCGACTGAGCCACCCAGGCGCCCCCCAATGTAGCATTCTTAAGTAATTTCACAAACTTTCGTTCCTGAAGCTTATGGGCGGCGGCAATGAGTCCACCAAATAAAATGAATTTTCTCGGAGAGCGGGTGTTGCACTGGGGTTTGCATCACGTGGGGTGAGTTTGGGGCGCTGGAGATGCTGGAGGCCTCACATTTACTGAATTTTTCCAAGAGGACATTGTTCACCCGCCGCCTTGCCTGCCGGGGACTGGGGAGTGAGCCCTGGGGGCCTGACCGCCTGTTTTGGCGGGGTCTCCAGTCTCTGCCCCTCCAGCAACTGTAGCTTCCGCCCTCGTGTTCTGTAAGTAGCTGCTGCCCGTCCCACTTGTGAGGGACCCACATTTGGCGAAATGAAGTTACGGCGTATCTCAGACTGAGGGCACAGCTTGGGGATTTTCCGCAGGCCTCCTGATTTCTGACTTTGTACCCCTCAAATAACAGCATCGCCAGCTTTCTCGTCTTCGGCGTTTTGATAAAGTCATGAGGACCTCCTCTAGCTACTCAGATGGGCTTCGACTCTCATGTTTAGAGGCAGGGGGTGGGGCCCCACCGGGGCGGCAACGGGGACTAGGGAACCTAACCGGAACGGGGGTAACTCGGCATAAAGAATTGTTAACTAGGCATAAGGTACAGTTAACTTGGTATAAAGAATAGTTAAACCTTGGGGCGCCTGGGTGGCTCAGTCATTAGGCGCCTGCCTTCGGCTCAGGTCATGGTCCCAGGGTCCTGGGTTCGAGCCCCGCATCGGGCTCCCTGCTCAGTGGAGAGCCTGCTTCTCCCTCTGCCTGCCGCTCCCCCTGCTTGTGCTCTCTCTCTGTTTTTCTGACTCTCTCTCATATAAATAAATAAAATCTTTAAAAAAATTTTAAAATAGTTAAGCCAGTGTGAAGAATTGTTAAGTAGGCATAAAGAATAGTTAACCAGTCATAAAGAAGAGTTAACTAGGCCTAAAGAATAATTAACTTGGTATAAAGAATAGTTAACCAAGCATAAGGAATATTTAATCCGCTCACCACAGAGGGCTGCTGACTTGGTGCCCGACAGGCGGGAGCAGGTGTGCAGGGCCCCCGCTGCAGGGGCTGCACCTTACCCCATGATCGTGGGTTCTTAGGAACCCAAACTTCAGAGTGCGAGTGTGAGGTTAGGTTAGACTTGCTCAGGAGACCTGGGCCCGTTCCCCAAGAAGGTTCCCAGGGTGCTCCCCGCCCCCCCGTGTGACGGCCTCCCAGACACTGGCCGGGGGAGCCTGGGCCAGCCCATAAGAAGCCTGGGTCCCCAGCCACAGGGCTGGGATGGGGCAGCTATGACCTCCAGGGGTCCAGACACCTAAATTAGGACAAGCTGTTGCAGAGGGTCTGAGGAGAGCTCGGTCCTCCCGTGCTCCAAGGGCGCAGTGCTGGGGGGCTCAGGTCAGAGCCGGGCAGGCCAGGCACTGTGCTGGGGGCGGCTGGTGGCCGCGGCCCTCATCCTCCTTCCGGGACAGTGACCTCGATTCCGCGTTCCTCCTCCGCTGCACGGCTGCTGACCCCGTGTCCTACGGCCCACGCCACCCCGTCCCCCCGGTGACTGCTGCGTGTGTGCCTCTGCTCTCCCCGCAGCCTCTTCTCCACCCTGGCCCGAGGGACACCTTTAGACTGCATACCTCATGGGGGGGCCACTCCAACCTCCTGCAGCTCCCACCACACTGAGGACAAGGCTCGCGCTCTTGGATGGCCTAGAGAGACTCCATGGTCTCCTCCTCCTGCCACACTCTCCTCCTTCACATGGGCTCCCTTGGTGCCTGTAACACGCCAAGCCCTGCTCGGCCTCAGCCCTGCTCTGCGTGCTCCCTGGAGCTCCAGAAGCACATTCTCAGGCTTCCTGGCAACTCTCACCCCATTCCCTCCCTCCATTCAGGTGTGTGTACTTTCCCTGGCCGCCTCCCCGAAGAACCATCCTGTGCTACATGTGTCCTCTGACTCAGATCTACCGTCCTGTTCTTTTGGTGACCAAACGTAGCAGGGTTTGACCAGAGAAGTGGGGCCGGTAGTATATCTCCCTGTCTATCCACCTATCTGCCCAGCCATTCATCC